GGTCCAGTCCAACGAGGAAGATCAGGTATCCAGGGGACCGTACCATCGCGCCGTCTTTCCCTCGGTTTCGGCCCAGGGGAAGTCTAACCGAAGCGTTAGGGTCCAGTTAAACCATGACTGCGGACGCAATTTTGACGCAGCGCGGGACGAGTCAATTTCCGTTGCTGCGCCGCATCATCTTCCGACAACCATACCGAACCCCATTCCTGGCGTCCTCGCCAGGTTCAGGCCACTATAAAGGCCTAATAGCTTACTCATTCTCGCCATTCGCACTTGAACTCATATCGTCGAGTGTGCGGCGCTATTACGATCTTGCTATTACCGCTGCCTTTATCGTTATCGACTTGCTTGCGTTCTTATCGCACTAGTGCTTACCGTCGTGCAACTAATCAGTTTTTTGCCATGGCGCCAAAGACGCGAGGCTCGGGCGCTGGACGTGGGAGAGGTGGTGGACAGGGGAAGGCGCGAGATCGACTGATCGATCTGACGTACGAAGGGGAGAGATCCGAAGAGGAGGAGGAGGAGGTGAGATGGGGAGGAACGTGCTTGCGCCATTGCTCAGAGGACCGGCGCGAGCGCACGCTGTCGCGTAGGTCTATGATGTACTATGCGTATAAATACGAGCAACGCTACGGCTCTCCGCCTCCACATTTTGATCCTCCCTCTCGATCATACCCTTCACCATATCACCCTTCTTTCTCTACTCAACCATCTCCTCGCCAGCTCACCGTCTTGCGACATCCGCCTCGCCCTGCGCCGCCGCCGTTGCCACGCGCACCAGAACCGCCCGTCGCCCACCAGGCTGCGCCACCCAACTATCGCTTGTGCCTCGTACTTGAGTTGTTCTTCATATGCCAACTTGAGCTAAGCGGCCTTGTATGCTATCTGATATATAGGGTATTATATAAACTATATCCCCAATCATCCGGGTGCTTGCCCGCTAGGGCTTGAGTGCTCACTCAATAAGGCATGGACCACTAGTCCAAGCCACCATCAAAATCAAGAAGGAATTAGCCTTATCAGACTTGCGTGGTGCAGTCACCGCACGCAAGTATCATGATTGCTCATGCAGCCCAATCATACTATCAATCCGGTTCCCTTGCATCACTGAATCAGCCTCAATCTCAAGTCAAACCTTTCATTAGGTTTGGCCTCATGCATCGTCATGATCGATCCTCAATCTTAGACCTGACCCCATCGGTAGGTCTGGTCTAGCAGTCCAAGTCTCAACCCTGGCCTGTGCATCTTATCATTATCGGATCAGTCCATCTCATCCATATTGCCCATCAGTACAACATAACCCTCATCGATATCTTAGCCACGGGCGGCTATGGGGCCAATCATCGCATCCAGGATCATCCAGGCCATCTCGACCGAAGGCTGCCTCATGAGGGGTGAACATACCAAACCCCTTTCTTTTTGTCTGCCGGCTCTGTGCTGCTCACTGTCGGGTCATACCAAACCCCGTTGTCTTTGTTTGGCTGTAGGGTACCTGCAAAACAGATGTCAAGTCATGCTTCAAAAAAAAAGTCGAGAAAAAGGATCTCTCCTAAACACCCTTGCCGACACCCCTTCCTCACTCACTCTCAGAGTCTTACCTTTCGGCCTTCCGGGAGTGCCCCCGCTCGCCCTGGTGGGCTCCTCCGCTGACCCAACCCGACAAGCAGAGCAAAGTCAGTCCTGATTCCCAGTCATGGTGGTCCGACCACCCTCTAAGCCCTTGCTCAGAACAGCTCACGGGGAGCCGCACACCCCTTCATGAAGCCCTCACTCCGATGAGTGCAGGCCCATGGCGCGGAAGCTCTTTAGCCGACTTCAGAACCTCCGTCTACTCGCTCGATTTCTTTCTAACGCTCGGCTCTTGCTACTGTGCGGGGAGCCAGCCAACACCCAACCAAACACTGCTGGTGAGTCAGAGCGAGTCCACAATTAAGCTTTGCAGCAGTGGGCTAGGAGGCCATAATGGCCCTGTTGCCAGCTGGGTTGTGGATACTTGGCTTGGCCCGTTGCCAAGGGAATGCCCCTGGAGACACTGCTCCTGAGAGACACCCCGATCAGAGTGATAGTATGAGTCCGCCACCTTGATCAACCAATTGTCGGATTTAGACTGGGAGAGGCTCAGGATGCCTCCTTCCTTTCTAGCAGGCGGACCAGATCACCATACGATGACTTGAGGAACGACTAGCCACCCTAGGATCCAGAGTTATCTGCCACTATGGCTCAGACACCCCGCTGACCCAGCTAGCCTCTGGACCTTGTGAGAACCTGCTTCAGGGAATCATCTCTTGCTCAAGAGGCGTAGTCGAAAACTCTCCGCCTCTTCATGAAGGACGCAAGTGCTGAGACCGCAGGGGACGCCACTGTGGATAGACTCTCGCCGGGGAACCGTTGCGAGAGCCCGACGACTGCAATGGGAACACTCCTTCCAGCATGAAGAATACAACGAGCCTCGATCCGCTGCGATGCTAAGTGATCTTTGCCCGATCACATGATCGGACAGATCACTCCATCGATTATGACACATGACTGATTACCTATCCCTTTAGAGCTTGGTAGCGTTTAGCCGCGAAGGCGTGTCTGGAGAGGAACCCCATCTCGGCGATGCTGAGTCCCTTGCCAAGGGGAAACTTCACTAGGCTAAATGTCACCCTCCTTCAGAGATAGCTAATGAATTTGTGCCAGATGACGCTAGGCAATCCTCCTTACGCAATCGTACTAGATGGCTGCCCCATCAACTGAGCGCTGACTTATGAGAGGAAGAAAACAGATTTTACTTTATCCCATAGCCATTCATTTCATAAATGCCATATAGACTAAATAAATACAATAAGAGGCAAGAACTGAAATCCCATAAACTGGCTCCCAATCCCCCAGGCATGTCCCAGGATTTACACATGACAAGCCAGATACAATGCAATGAACTGAAATTTTAAAAGTTTAACTCACAATCATACAAAACTGGGGCGAATCTGGGCCCGACAAACACATAAGTTCACCAATGAGCCGAGCCATCATAGGCTGCTCGTATCCAGCTCCGGCATCCGAAATCATACCATAATCATAGCAGCCGACTGTTGGCTGCTGCTGGCGGCACATGGGCCACGTCCCAACACATAATCATCATCATCTGTAGCTGGTGGCAACACTGTCCACATCCCAACTCATAATCATTGATAGCTGGCGGCTCACTGGCCACATCCCAACATATAATCATCATCTGTAGCTGGCGGCAACACTGTCCACATCCCAACTCAGAATCATCGATAGCTGGCGGCTCACTGGCCACATCCCAACAAATAATCATCATCATCTGTAGCTGGTGGCAACACTGTCCACATCCCAGCTCATAATCATCTGAAGTTGGCGGTACTCTCACCACGTCCCAACAAATGTTGAGGGCACATTGACCACATCTCAGCTTGTCTAGGCTGATGCTAGATGGCTCTCGGGCCTCGCCTCATCACTCTGCCCGAACTCGGAATCAAATCTGCATCTCTAAGTATGAATTTTTGGAGCCGGGAGCCGGATACTATACCATGGGATCTCATACCATCCATCTCTGCTAACTCATAGGCCTTGCCTTCAACCTCTCTGATGATCCTGAATGGTCCCATCCACCTGGCCTCCAATATCTTGGTCCACTGTGTCTCGAGAGATGTATCATGTAGAAGTACAATATCTCCGACCTGAAGTCGTTCCTTCTTGATGTACCTCTTGCTGTTCCATCGTGTCTGATCAGATAATCTGCTGTCTGACATCCTCTTTGTGGCCTCAATTATGGCCTCATCCACTTCCTTAATCTGCCTGATCCTCAGCCTCAACAACTCCTCTGTGGAGTATGACTCTCTCTGCGCCTCATGGGTCCAGGTCTCAACCAGGTTCTCAATGGGAGATGTAGCATACCTGCCATACCAGAGTGTAATAGGCGCATAACCTGTAGTCCGTCTGACAGTCACATTGTCAGCATAGACAACCGCCCTCAAGAAAGATGGCCAGTTTCTGGAGTCGCCTTGGCACCATTTTGATATAGCATCCTTTAGTGTCATGTGGCCTCTTTCCACTGGTGCATTAGCTTGAGGATGATATGGTGTCACAAATCTGATCCTGACTGCAAGTCTGAACATGAGCCTCCTGACCATCTCGTTCTTGAACTCTGATCCCTGATCAGCCACAAACTCACGTATGAAGGGGTACCTCAGATAGATTTCCTCGATCCAATCTGCCACTGCCTTTGCGGTTTTCTTACGGATGGCTTTTGCTTCAACATAACCAAACATATTATCTCTCATATTAAACACATATTTCATTCCATCCTTACCAGGTGGCATAGTAATTAGATCAAGGTGAACAGTACTGCCAGGTTCAACAAGAACAGTGGGGTATAAGGGTTCAATCAATCTCATAGATGACCTTTTCTGACAGGCTTCACATGACTTACAATATTTAATAACCATATCCCTCAGGCCATCCCAGTGATATAGTCGGGATACTTTATAGTATGTAGCATCCGCACCCCTATGACCCCCTGTTAGACCCTCATGCAGTGCGACGATCACCTCTAGTTGCCTTTCCTTACCACACACTACTCTCAGTGGCGGTAGTCCTTCCTTAGCATCCACAAAGAGGTGACCCCTACGCAACCTAAAGGTTCTCTTTGTCTTCTCATGGTAGAATTCGTCCAACTGATTACTGCTCATTACCTTTCCGATCCTCTTATATTCCTCATCATACTCATCCTTCCTAAATCTCTCTTCAACGTCCTTATCTTGTTCAGGGTCTTCCGGCTCTTCCTCTATCTCATTCAGCCTTCGCTCAGCCATTCTTGAACTCTCTGCCAGCTCATGAGCTGCAACAACAGCTTGTTCTACCAACCCATACCATCCTTCCTCCTCATCCTCTCGAGTTAGAAGGTCATGGAGGTAAGGGTCTTCCTTTTCTCCCGAGCAGTCTTCCCTGCTCGTTGCTATGGATGAAGCTGTATAACAACTAGGAGCTGGAGGTAGTCCTTCATCATCGTCTTCCATAAGGAATTCGTCAACAAAGGGTGCCTCCTTAAGAGATTCATCATCTATTGATTCCCATTCTACGCGGCTCAGCCCATCGGCTCGATTCTTTGCAGTAGGTACCTTCTCTAATACAAAATCATACGTCCATATGTGAGCTATCCACCTACTGAGTGTAGCATCTACTTGCTGATGCCTGTTAACAACTCCGATTACCGCTGTGGAATTCGTTCTTAGAATGAATCTCCTCCCCATAACATAGTGTCTAAACATTCTGAGACAGTGCAGGATTGCCAGGAGCTCTTTCCTGAACTGAATATAGCCTCTCTCAACCGAATTAAGGGTGCGACTCTCAAATCTAAGTGGCCTTTCTTTACCATTCTCATCTCGTTGCACGAACACTCCTCCTAATGCTATCGGGCCGCCGTCGGTTTCAATGATGAATAACCTCTCCCTTTCATCGTCGAAGTAGGGTACTCCTAGCACGACCCCGCCATCTCTTAACTTATCTTGAAGTGTCCGCGCAGCCTTCTCTCTTTGGTCAGACCACTCTAAGCTGGCTCCTTGTCGCACCATTTCTCTAAGGGGCTCGACTATCTTGGCAAACCCGGGGATGAAGATCCGCTAGAAGCTACAAACCCCTAGGAAGTTCCTTACTTCCCCAACCGTTTTTAGAGGCATAGGCCAGTTCAGGAGTTTATCCACCTTCTTCGGATTGGGGCTCCTTCCTTCCAAGAAGCACCTAAAACCCAAGATCGTTACCTCCCTTTGGAACAGTAATGATTTCGGCCCACTGGCTGTTAGGTTGTATTTAGACAACCTTTTTAGTACTTTCGCTACTCCCTGCGCATATTCCCATACGAACTGCCTGACTCGACCATCCACTAAAGTCTCATTTTTTTCCTTCGGTCCTTTAACTGGATTGTCGTCAATGTATGGAAACGTAACCTCTGGGCATATGTCCTCCATGACCTTCAACATGTCTCGTTGAACGGCCTCGACCCCATTCGTCCACCCTTGAGGCACCACACACATTTGTATGAGGCCTCTCGGTATATGCATGGCGGTCATAGGCCGACTAGTAGGATCTATCGGGAACTGGTCATAGCCAGAGTACAAGTCTATCAGGGAGTAGATGCTCCTTCCGGCAAAAGACTCGGCCAATAGATCCGCGTTGGGTAAGCTACCCGCATCGCGAACCGTTACCGAATTCAACTTTTGCAAATTCTGTATCCAGCGCAGACCACCACCAGGCTTCCAAAAGCAAAACCAGTGATTGGCGTAGGCTCCATCAGCTGGTTCCGCAAAGTTGGAGGCGATCTTCTGGTCTATGTATTCCATTACCTCTTTTTTTTCCTTTTGAGCGTACTTTGTGGGTCTGTCATTCCAAGGCGTGTGAGGAACGGTCCAGATCTTGACCATCTTGATCATGTCAACGTCCAGTCGTCCCCTCTCCTCGTCATTAGAGGAAAAGGCACCACTGTACTTCTGACATAATTCATATATGAAATCCCTCTCAGCCGGCAGAAGGAAGTCATTGGCTCCGACCTTCATTATCTTGAACCTCTCTGGGGTAATTCTTCCCCCTTTCAATGCAGCCTCTCTTAATCTTTTAACTATCTTTCTCTCCTTCTCTAATGCCTCATTGTAATCTTTCTCTATCAGAACGGCCACCGGATTCTTCTTAACGCCTTTGCGCTTATACTTCCTCTTAAACCCGGTGGCTATTTTCCTAAAAAAGGCCCAGTTGCAGAGAAGGTGAGCTGCATTGTGCCAGCTTTTGCTGCCCTCACAACATCCTTGAACCCCTCCATCTCTCTCTTGTTGTCCAACTCCTTTTCTTTATCCAGGAGCTTGAGCATCTTCCCAATTTCATTCACTCTAATTGTTGTTTTTTCATCTATTATTCCACTTTCTATTAACTATGTCCGTACTTCCTCAATCAGCTTGTCAGATTCTCCATGCTTAAGAGAGTTAATATGTCGCTGATGACGAGGATGATGCCTATCACTTATCACAAAAGCCTGTTCTTGACCATTGTTAGGATCCTGGAGAGAAAGCCAGGCTGCCCCATAATGGCCAAAGAACGCACAAGCCTCCATTCTATGTAGGAAAGGGGCTCCGAGAATGCAATCATGATCCAAGTTGGGGACCACAAAGCAGAGGATTTCGGCCCGTAAAGTCCCAATTCGAATAGGCAAATCATCAATAAAACCTTCCAAAGGCAGAAACCCGACTATATTGGAAAGTTGATGATTGACCTTCCTGTCTATCCCGAACCCACATGACCTCATTGTGGCCGAGGACATAAGCACCATCTCGGCCCCAGAGTCCACTAGGGCTCTAACCTTTACGTCATTCACAGAGATATTGAAGTATCCACACGACATGTTACCAAACCTCATCTTGGTACCAGGCGGGGCTCTTTCCACATGCTGAGGAAAGAGTCTTAGGCTATTGATTTCTACATTCCGCCTTTCAACGATCTTTTTAAGTTCTTCTCTAAACTTAGGTACCAAGGCTACTGCTTCTTTCCAGGATAGGGTGATCTCGGTCTCCTCGAGTAATTTCTTTACTACTTCATCTATCGAGATCCCTTCCTCAGCTTCGGATCTCAGGACTACCCTTCTCTTCTTCCCGGCAGCTTCCTTTGCTTTCCCTTCCTTCATTAGGTTCTTGGTCCAATCTATCAGCTGGTCTAGCTCTCTTTGAGCCTTCTCTCACTTTTTTTCTTCGACCTCTTTCTGGCTGATATGTGATACATTCAGACTTTGACTTCTGGGATTGTCGTATCGAGCCACTATCTCCGGAGGTAGCATACTATCAAAGGTGATAATATTAACTTTAGCCTTCTTCCTTTTATCCTTATTGGCCCTAGCCTGTTCTAGGATAACTGCTCGCATCCCTCCTTTGACTCGAAAATCTATCTTGTTCCAATTGGCATCACAGACGTGACCATTGGCATCCTTCTTGACAATCCCTTCTTCGAGTTCCTTCTCTAGTATAGGGCACCGAGTTATAGTATGGCCTTCCTCGTCACAATAAAAACATCGGAAGGGGCCATCTCTCCTCTGCCAATCTCGGCTCTTATTATCTTTCTTCCAATCCCGGTCGCGCTTCTTCTTCTGTCTCTCTTTTCTCCTTCGCTAGCGTCATCATCACTACTCTCATCCTCACTCTCACTATCTTCCTTTTGCTTCTCCTTCTTTCTTTCTTCCTTACCTTCTTCGGCTCCAACAAGTGCTTGAGTCGGTGGAGCAAGAAGGGTTAACTTTTCGAAGCTACCAAGCTTAACGAGAAGACCAAGGATCTCTTCGGCCTTCAAATTTCCTCCCTTAGCTGCCTCAACATTTCCTTCTCTCGCACTAGTGATTGCTTTCATTTGTTCCAGAGACCACTTCCGGTTTGACACCGAAGGTAGTTCACGAACCATCTCAACCACTTCATCCTACTTCAGAGGATAATGAGCAGCGCGACTCACCACACTCTTTCTTTCATCCTCTGCAAAATTAGTTAACAGGACATGACACTTCTGGGCCTCATCTAGGAAGGGTACTCTCCACGCAACCCGCTCAAAATCCTCTAGGAATTGATCAAGGGTTGCATATTTTGAACGTCGCACTTCCAACAAATTTTGCATAGTTGTTGGAACGTCATACTTCGCGTATTCTTCCAGCATCTTTTGTCTAACCTCGACCCATGTTGCTAGTCCTTGTGTCGTCTTTGTCACAGACACCGTCATCTTTGGTTCAACATAGGCCAGCAGGGCCTTCAACTTCTGTTTGTCAGACCAACCGTGACTCATACCGAAGATATCATAGTCTTCCAAGAACTCCCTAACCTTGGTTCCATCAAAGCAGGGTATATTCTCTGGAGGTACTTTGGCTCTCAGAAGATCTAACCGGACATTCATAGTATCCATCCTGGTCTTCATGGCCTCTATCCTGTTCAACATTTCTTGTAGAACAGTGGTAGTGGTCACTTCTCCGTCACCTGCGAAGAAACTAGCAAGGTTCTACATTGCGTCCAGTCCCCTGACCATCTTGTCTGATTTACTGGTTAAACTCCTATTTCTTCCTGAACCTTTTCTCTCTTATGATTGCGTTTAAAATCGGTTCCCAGCTTCTGTCGTCAGTAAAGCTTTCTGGCAAAACTGGCTCGGGAAACTTGTCAAACACAATCAGAGTTATGTTACTAACTACTCTTGCCCTTTTTCTTTCTAACTCTCTCTTTTCTTGATTAACTATATCATTAATCCAACTCCGAAAGGACTCGCGATCTGTCCCTCTCTCCCTCGACGAGGGAATATAGGGTCGGATATCGTATTCGCCAGTGTCAAGGAACTTCACCACAAGGATATACGCCTTCCCAGGTGCATGCTTCTTCTCCAGGGATATGCAACGCTCTACCTTGTAGGGAAAAACTCCTCCACTGGTAAAAGGAACTAAGGCGTCTAGTGCTGCCGTGACTGCCGGACAGTAACCAGACATTGCCTAATTCCTAACCTCTCTTAGTATCACTCTCAATCTTCCATATTCATCATAGACTTTGTGCTCGCCTTCTACTCCATAGACGCCGGTGTCAATATAGAGTTCACCTTCGACCTCGTCGATGCAAGACGCGCCTCTCCTGATTTCTACTACCTCTGTTACTGGACCTCAAACCCTCCTACAAATCAAAGTCCCTAACAAGCATTGGTCCTCACGGCTCCAACCGAGAACGAGGGCTCTCACCTTCTCAGATTCTTGTCTTGTCAGCTCCTTCTCTATCCCCTGTCTTACTAAGTTACCTTCAATCGGGCTTTCACGATTGCCTTCCGCCATCTCATAATTTCTCCATCTTTAGTCAACCCTGCATTCACCGAGTTTCTATCTAAGAAGCGAACAAGTTTCCTGCCTTTGTCTAGTGATAGAAAATTCAGGAGATCCTTCGTCCTGGACTTCGAACCGACGTACAAAGTTATCGGAAAACAGCGCCTTTGGTCGCATGACTAGGTCATTTTCTCTTGTCCTACCAACCACGGCAATAGCTTCTAGAAGAGGCGCCCTGTCTCTCCTATCAGTGAAGCTATCCGTAGTCAGAAAACTAGGGAGTCTTTCAAATTGCCTGACTCGTTTCCCCCAAGTTACTTTCTCATGCAGGCTTCGAAGCAATTCCCTTATCCTCGAGAGGTGAATGTACACTCTCCTCAGGCACTCTAAATAGCCTTCTTCCTCTTTTATTCCTTCCAGAGCATAAACCCTCACGTCAAGCTCGTTGGTCTTGAGAAATCTCACCACTGGAACATAGAATACTAAACGCCCTTCCTTACAGACGTCGTGTCTCAATATCTCGAACGGACTCTCAGTCTCAGTTACTTTATCTAACCATCCTCTACCAATGGTCACAGTCGCAATTGACATAGAGTTTTCACATTCCAATATCATTGCCTTGAGCTGCTTCTAGCGCCTCTAGTCAGACTGTCTGCAGAACGCTGTTCTAGATAGGATGGTCTCATCTCTCGCATGTAGCATCACTCTCCTGCCATCCGTACTCTTGCAATCCAGCAGATGCCTAATCTTAGTCTGATCCGTAATTGCTCTAAAAGCAGCCGACCGCATAAGCTCAAGGTAGTGCTCTACCATGCCAATCTCATCGTGTCTACCT